TGTGTATGTGTGTGTGTGTGTGAGCGGGTTTACCTATCCTTATGGGGACACAATGTCCCCATAACGTGATAAATATCCGTTTTTTTTTCCCTTATGGGGACCGGTTTCCTGGTCCCCATAAGGGAAAACTCTATTTTATAAAAATCGGTGACTGCTATGAAAAAACTAAAAATGCAAAAACTCTTGTATTTTGTTAGGTTACTTATGGTTATGGTTAGGGCAGGGTAGGGGTTAAGGTTGTCATAGTTAGCGTTAGCATTTTTCACATTGAAATGAATGAGCGGTCCCCATAAGGATATGTTTACCCTACATGTGTGTGTGTGTGTGTTACTGTATCCATGTGCCTCTCTCCTTCATTAACTGTGTGTGTCTGTTGTGGGGGTGGAATCTTCACAGCAACAAGTCCAGTCATAAATTCGGGGACAAAATGTCACTTTGGACCCCCCTCCCCCCCACCCCCCACTCTCACTCTCCGATCGCGTTCCCCCACTGACTCATGGCCTCATCACAGCTCTCCTCTGTCCTAATTATTCATTCCCAAATATAGTCCATCATTTCGCAGCTTGGAGCTCCTGTCCAAACGTTAACATTAGAGGTCCAGACAGGAAGGGTACGCATGACACTCGCCATTAAAGGGCTCCTCCTGCACACCCCGGCTGCTGTGATCCAGCCGTCCATGCGTCTATAAACAAACTGACTGCTAATGATCGCTGTCCGCCGCTGTGCATGCGAGTCGGAGAAGGTCCTTACCGCATACGCGCACAAAAGTTGTTCCCTCCCCCGTGGTTACTAAGTAACTCTAAACCGTAATGGGTCTGGGGGATTTGTGCAGAGCAGAGCGATGGATTCTGAACAGCTTAAGGTTTAAAAATGGCCATAATTAAAAATGGCCATAAGTCTTGTCACGTCAGGCTGCTCCTCTCCCAGTTTGTGCCATCTGTCCCCACAATCCCCAAACCCCGTGGAAAAAGCAAGTAGGGCAAGTCACAGAAAAGAAATTCTTCCACTCTAACCAACATGACTTATCCAGAATGTATTCTTAGTCGTCCGTTCCCTTTTAATCT